CCAGGATGGTCTCCATCTCCTGACTTCGTGATCCGCCCACCTCCGCCTCCCAAAGTGCTGGGGTTACAGGTGTGAGCCACTGCGCCCAGCTGAAATCTCTTCATTTTTATGAGTTGGCAACTATTTTCTAAAAAATCTTAAAATACCTTGTAGGGTAGGCTAAATACATCTATGGGCTAGAATCAGCCCATGGTACCCGGAATCACCTAATTCTCCATTTTGTTGTATGTATGAATGCAGCCCTTGCTCTTGGAATTATAATTGCCCCAGTGTTTGCTAAGCACAGCTGGCTGAGAGACTATAGGGTGAACTGATAAGAGGAATAGAAGGGAATCAGAAGACCTGGGTTTCAGTCTTGTTCTCTAATAAGCAGCTGTGTGGCCTTGCTCACATGAATCTCGGTTTGGTTAGAGCATCTTTATCTATTAAATGAAGGCATTGATGAAGGAATCCTTAGGGCCCCTTCTAGTTCCAAACTTCCATGTCTATGCCTTTAAGTTACTGAATTACTTTATTTTGTTTGTATCTAAAATACCTAGGCTAGACACTTAGAGACTTTGGCTTAAGCAGCACTGTGGCAACAAATCCGATTTACAAGAGTGAAGGAACCCTTGAAGTAGGATTTTTCCAATGGATTCCTTAACAGGAGAGGCTAAAGAAGGGTTCACTCTAAAATTAAATGCCACTCCACTTCTCCAATGGCAAAAGCAATTAGGAATTTCATTTGAAATCTGGGGACAGTTGATGGAAAAAAGAAAACAAATATATTAATAAAGAACAGTAAGAATGGTCATTGCTGGCAGGAATGATGCAGCCACTTTACAAAAACAGTTCGTCAGTCATTCAAAATGTTAGGCATAGAGTTACCGTATGACTCAGAAATTCCATCCTAGGTATTTATCCAAGAAAAATGAAATCTACCTACAAAAAAACTTATGCAGCATTATTCGTAACAGGCAAGAAGTAAAAACAACCTAAAAGTCCATTTGAATGGGTAAGTAAAATGTGGTACATTCATACAATGGAATATTATTCTGCAAAAAAAGGAATGAAGTACTGATGAATGCTACATTACAGGTGAATCTTGAGAACACTAGGATAAGTGAAAGAGGCCAGTCACAGAGGATGATATGTTGTAGGATTTCATTTATCTGAAATGCTTGGAAGAGGCAACTCTATAGAGATAGAAAGCAGATTAGTGGTTGCCTGTGACCGCGGAGGATGGGAGGAATGAAGAGTGATGCTAAAGGATACGAGATTTCTTTCTGGGGTGATAAAAATGTCCTAAAATTGGCTGGGCACAGTGGCTCATGCCTGTAATCCCAGCACTTTGGGAGGCCAAGGCAGGAGGATCATGTGAGGTCAGGAGTTTGAGACCAGCCTGGCCAACATGGTGAAACGTCATCTCTACTAAAAATACAAAGATCAGCCAGGCATGGAGACAGATGCTTGTAATCCCAGCTACTTGGGAGGCTGAGGCAGGAGAATTGCTTGAACCCAGGAGGCAGAGGTTGCAGTGAGCTGAGACTGCACCACTGCACTCCAGCCTGGGCAATAAAGTCAGACTGTGTTGGGGGGTGGGGGGAATCCAAAAAGTGCCTGTGGGGATGGTTGTAAAACTCTGAATATAATAAAAGACATGGATAGGACATTTTAAAGAAGCAAACTGTATGGTAATGTGAACTATGTCTCAATAAAGCTGTTTAAAAAAGAAAAAGTAAGGATAAAAAGGTTATTAACATGAAGGAGTAGATGAATAAAACCTTAAATGAAGGTTAATGAGAAGCTAAGGAAAAAAATATATATGACTAGCTTATGTTACTAACACATCTCTTTAGAACTGCTCATTGTATTTTGAGAAGGGGCTGCTTTTAGCAGGCAAATTGTGATCAGGGAAAGGGATGATTAACAATAATAAATAGTGATTTTCATTCTTGGATATGGTCCTAGGCACTAATTGTTTTTCTGAGTATTTTTATGCACTGTTTTGAAGCTCGGGCAGCCTGTTACTCTGTTTTTCAGCTCCAATTGTTTGAGTTTGGCAGGTTTGAGTTAGTAATGAGGATGCATTATGGCAAGGGACACTCATGACATCAGTACACACAGGGCTGCCAGAATTCTGGGGGCTCTGCCAAGCCCCAGTGAGTTGCCCCAAGCCTTGCAAAATCCAAATTGCAAAACAAGAAGAGTGAGGACTTGCTAGTTGGTGTTAAGTTTGGGGGATTCTATGTTTAAGTGCCAAAGGTGAAACCATTCTGACAAGAAGTAGTTACTTTAGCTTAGTTGCAAGGGCAATTTCAGTGGAGTTGAAATCCAGGCCATGCTTTGTCAGATTCTCCAGGAGGAGGAGTCACACATTTGGATATCAATAGTGGTCTGGCAGGTAAAGTAGAACAGTGTAAGTGGTTAAATGGAGGGCTCTCTGTCCCACTTCACAGGGCCAGTCCCTGTGCTGTTCATGTTCCTTGTTACTGTATAGAGGGAAAGACCAGTATTGCCAAATCAACCTTCTGATTTTTGAAAAGAGACCGAAGACACTAATTTTTATTTTATTTTATTTATTTATTTATTTATTTATTTTTAATTATATTTTAAGTTCCAGGGTACATGTGCATAACGTGCAGGTTTGTTACATATGTATACTTGTGCCATGTTGGTGTGCTGCACCCGTCAACTTGCCATTTACATCAGGTATAACTCCTTTTATTTTTAATTTTATTTAATTAATTTATTTATTTTGAGATGGAGTTTCACTCTTGTGGCCCAGGCTGGAGTGCAATGGTGCGATCTGCACTCACCGCAACCTCTGCCTCTTCAAGCGATTCTCCTGCCTTAGCCTTCCTGAGTAGCTGGGATTACAGGCATGCACCACCACGCCCAGCTAATTTTGTATTTTTAATAGAGACGGGGTTCCTCCATGTTGGTCAGGCTGGTCTTGAACTCCTGACCTTAGATGATCCTCCTGCCTCGTCCTCCCAAAGTGCTGGAATTACAGGTGCGTGCCTCTGTGCCCGACACGGATTTTTAAATAGTGAAATCTTCCTCTTTGAATGTTTCCATCTAATTAGAATTTTAAAAGAAATGTAATAGCCCATAGATTGGGAGAAAGTAATTCCCTTACTGGTCGGTTTAGGACTTTCTGCCTCCACTGTTGCTCTCGGTACTGGAATAGCAGGCATTTCAACCTCTGTCATGACCTTCTGTAGCCTGTCTAATGACTTCTCTGCTAGCATCACAGTCATATCACAAACTTTATCAGTCCTCCAGGCCGAAGTTGACTCTTCAGCTGCAGTTGTCCTCCAAAACCGCTGAGGCCTTGACTTACTCACTGCTGAAAAAGGAAGACTGTATATTCTTAAATGAAGAGTGTTGTTTTTCCCTAAATCAATCTGGCCTGGTATATGACAACATAAAAAATCTCAAGGATAGAGCCCAAAAACTTGCCAACCAAGCAAGTCATTACGCGGAACCCCCTTGGGCACTCTCTAATTGGATGTCCTGGGTCCTCCCAATTGTTCGTCCTTTAATACCCATTTTTCTCCTTGTTTTATTCGGACCTTGTATCTTCCGTTTAGTTTCTCAATTCATCCAAAACCGTATCCAGGCCATCACCAATCAATCTATATGACAAATATTTCTTCTAACGACCCCACAATATCACCCCTTACCACAAAACTCTTCCTTCAGCTTCATCTCTCCCACTCTGGGTTCCCATGCCACCCCTAATCCCGCTTGAAGCAGCCCTGAGAAACATCGCCCATTCTCTCTCCATACCACTCCCCCAAAATTTTTGCCACCCCAACACTTCAACACTATTTTATTTTTCTTATTAGTATAAGAAGGCAGGAATGTCAGGCCTCTGAGCCCAAGCCAAGCCATCGCAGCCCCTGTGACTTGCAGGTATACACCCAGATGGCCTGAAGTAACTGAAGCATCACGTAAGAAGTGCAAATACCCTGCCCCGCCTTAACTGATGACATTCCACCACAAAAGAAGTGAAAATGGCTGGTCCTTGTCTTAAGTGATGACATTACCTTGTGAAAGTCCTTTTCCCGGCTCATACTGACTCCAAAAGCTCCCCCACTGAGCACCTTGTGACCCCCACTCCTGCCCACCAGAGAACAACCCCCTTTGACTGTAATTTTCCTTTACCTACCCAAATCCTATAAAACAGCTCCACCCTTATCTCCCTTTGCTGACTCTCCTTTCGGACTCAGTCCACCTGCACCCAGGTGAAATAAACATCCATGTTGCTCACACAAAGCCTGTTTGGTGGTCTCTTTACACCGACGTGCATGACAGTATTTGCACATTATATAATTGATAAGGAACTTGCATCTAGAATATATAAAGAATGCTCACAACTCAATAATCAAAAAAAACAAATAACCCAATTTAAAATGGGAAAGGGATCTGACTAAACATTTCTCCGACAAAGACATATAGATGGTGAATAAACACATGAAAAGAGGCTCAACATCGTTAGCATTAGGGAAATGGAAATTGAAACCACAATACTACTTGAAATACTACTTCATATCCACTAGGATGGCTAGAATTGAAAAAAAGATAACAAGTATGGATGAGGAGGTGAAGTTGGAACCCCCATATAGTGCTGCTGGGAATGGTGTAGCCACTTTGGAAAACAGTACAAAAGTTTTCCACAAGGGGTTAAACAGAAAGTGACCATATGACTCAGTATTTTCTCTCCTAGGTTTATACTCAAGATAAATGAGAACATATGTCCACACAAAAGCTTGCTCATGAATTGTCATAGAAACTTTCTTCACAATATCCAAAAGTGGAAGCAACCCAAATGTCCATCAGCTGATGAATGGATAAACAAAGTAATATTCTGTACCATGGAATTTTAATTGGCATATTTGGAAATAAAAAGGAATCAAGTACTGATACAACCTACAACATGGATACCTCTTGAAAATGCTATGCTAAATGAAAGAGGTCAGTCACAAAAGACCAGATATTAAATGATACCACTTTTTTTTTTTTTTTTTTTTTTGACAGGAAGTAGAATTTATTGGTGAGTATTAAGTGGGGGCAGCATATTGGAAGCCCTCATGAGTGCAGGGCCCGCCATTTGTCCAGAGGACCACGATTGGGGATGTACTTGACCCCACAGCCATCTGGGATAAGCCGCTTTTCAGCCACCATGTCTTCAAATTCATCAGCATTGAACTTGGTGAAGCCCCACTTCTTTGAGATGTGGATCTTCTGGCGGCCAGGAAACTTGAACTTGGCCCTGCGTAGGGCCTCAATCACATGCTCCTTGTTCTGCAGCTTGGTGCGGATGGACATGATAACTTGGCCAATGTGAACCCTGGCCACGGTGCCCTGGGGCTTTCCAAAAGCACCTCGCATGCCCGTTTGGAGCCTGTCAGCCCCAGCACAGGACAACATCTTGTTGATGCGGATGACGTGGAAGGGGTGGAGCCGCACCCGGATATGGAAGCCATCCTTGCCACAACTTTTTACCATGTACTTATTGGCACAAATTCGGGCAGCCTCCAGGGCTTCAGAGGACAGCTGCTCATATTCATCCGACACCATGTGCCCACAGAGCGGAAACTCATCCACTTTTGCCTTCTTCCGCCCCAGGTCAAAGATGCGAATCTTGGCATCAGGGACACCTCGGCAGAAGCGAGACTTTGGGTACGGCTTGTTCTTACAATACCGGTAACAACGGGCAGGGCGGCGGCCCATGGCGACACCAGGATCTTCAGTGGCGCGCCCAAGGGAAAGAGCTAAATGATACCACTTTTTATGAAATGTCCAGAGAGGCAAATCTATAGAGACAGAAAGTACATTAGCAGTTGCCTAGAGGGGAGAGGACAGGGGAAATGGGGAGTGACTGCTCTAGGGTATGAGTTTCTTTTTGGAGTGATGAAATGTTCTAAAATTGTGGTGATGCTTGCACAATTCTATGAATACAGTAAAAAACATGAATTGCACACTTTAAATTGGCTCAGTGTATGGCACGTGAATTATATTCCAATAAAGCTGTTATTAAAAAAAAAAGAATATAGTGCTGAGCACAGTGTAATCCCAGCACTTTGGAAGGCTGAGGTGGGTGGATCCCCTGAAGTCAGGAGTTTAAAACCAGCCTGGCCAACATAGCGAAAACCCATCTCTACTAAAAAATACAAAAATTAGCCGGGTGCGGTGGTGCTCTCCTGTAGTCCCAACTACTCAGGAGACTGAGGCAGGAGGATTGCTTGAACCTGGGAGGTGGAGGTTGTAGTGAGCTGAGATCATGCCACTGCACTCCAGCCTGGGCGACAGAGTGAGACTCTGTCTAAAAAAAAAAAAAAGAAAAGAAAAAAAAAGAAAAAAAAAAAAAAATATATATATATATATATACACTCAGGGTCAAAGAAAACATATTGGATTTGATTACCGAATAGTCAGACTGGAAGGCATTTGTCAAGCCCAACACCTTAAGAAACCAGAGAAAAGGGTGCTCTGCCAGGTCTACAGTCACACATTTATTTAGTGGCAGAAACATAGTCAGAACTTGTCTCTTGACCTTGACCTCTAGGTTGTGCTGCCTCTCTTCAAAGCCCAGTTTTGAAGACATAGCTTGGAATGGATTGTGAGAAGTCAGCCTCATGAACAGCTGGATATACTCTCTTCCCTTTCCCACATTTTGCAAAGGTCCCCCAAAGGCTTCTTGAGGAGGGGATAAATTGTGGTAAAAAGGAATACTCCTCTTCCTTAAAGGAAGAGATTGCCATAGAGCTTCCCTGAGTCTTTTCCCTCATAGGACGGGAGGGTCTGTGTGTTTCAAAGAACACTTACTCTGTATGTTTCTAATTCATTTGCACTTAGCTCATCAATATGTTGTTTATGCAAGAACCATTTGATGTTCAAGAAACCCTCTGGGCCTCTTAAAGGGCTTTTAAAAAAATTCGAGCCAGAGAATTGAACTTTGCCAAGAGTAAATGGAACTCAGATATCAAAAGGTCTGAGTTCAGTTTTCACTGAATACAAAGGGTGAGTAGATTCTGAACTGAGCCAAATGCATTCTCCCACCCTTAATTTACAGTACATTGTTTTGGCAGACTCTACAATTCTGAAAGTTGGCTGGTCTTCTCCCATTCCTTTCTAGGGTGCAACCTCAAGCCTATCTTTTAGTGAACTTTACAAAAAATAAGGCCATGTTACAATGATTTATGAGAGCCTCACTCATCACTGTTTTTGTAACTATTAATTTTATTAGAACAAATTCAAATGTTTGAAAAGGTTAAAACGCTCCTCTAAAGCTATAATTTTGTTTGATCTCCTACAGAGATTTCTATTTTTTTTAGCCCTCTCATCTGGGAGTTTATTAAAAGAGATGTTGCTCCTCTTTCAATAAGCGGTCAGGTCATCAACCAATTATCAAATTGAATACTAGAGGGCTACTATTACTTGTAGTGCTTGGATTTGGAGTACAAAACAAGTTCCTTTGCTCCGCCTTTGAAGGAGTAAGGGCCAGAGAAATTATTAGCACTTTGAGTTTCTTTTTAATAAAAAACAATCTCAAAAAAATGGCAAAATTAAAATCAGCCCAAGTTCTGCCACCTCAAGATGCGCCGTAAGATTTTGTGGGTCACTTTCCTTTTATTCTAAAAAAGTACTTAGGTGGCCGGGCGCGGTGGCTCACGCCTGTAATCCCAGCACTTTGGGAGGCCGAGACGGGCTGATCAGGAGGTCAGGAGATCAAGACCATCCTGGCTAACACTGTGAAACCCCGCCTCTACTAAAAATACAAAAAATTAACCGGGCACGGTGGTGGGTGCCTGTAGTCCCAGCTACAAGGGAGGCTGAGGCAGGAGAATGGCGTGAACCTGGGGGGCAGAGCTTGCAGTGAGTGGAGATCACTCCACTGCACTCCAGCCTGGGCGACAGAGCGAGACTCTGTCTCAAAAAAAAAAAAAAAAAAAAAGTACTTAGGCTGGGTATAATGGCTCGTGCCTATAATCCCAACACTTTGGGAGGCTGGGGCAAGAGGATTGCTTGAGCCCAGAAGTTTGAGACCCAGGCTGGGCAACATAGGGAGACCCTATTTCTACCAAAGGAAAAAAAAAACAAAAAACCTGGGTGTGGTGGTATGTGCCTATGGTCCCAGCTATTCAGAAGGTTAAGGTGGGACGATTGCTTGAGCCTGGGAGGTCGAGGCTGCAGTGAGCTGTGATCACATCACTGCACTCCAGGCTGGGTGACAGAACAAGACGCTATCTCGTCCCTCCCAAAAACCTCTGTATCTATATATCTATGTCAGTATACATAGTTATGGATATGTTATTATAAAAATGGGATATTATATTGTTTTACAATTTACTTTTTCCATTTGTTAGTTCATGATTGTCTGTATTAATAAAATGATATCTACTCATGCATAAAATTCAATTGTACAGATGGTTACTTAAGTAAAGTCCAGTGGGACATCTGGTTTAAGGTGTGGCAGGATGCAGCACTCAAATAATGTTCCGAGGTCTGCTTCTTTCCTTTCTATTTGCTCGGCCTTCTGCTGCCTTGGTGCCACTCACATGTTGCACATACAGGCAGCAGTTTGAGTATATGCATTCAGGATCTTGGCAGGTAGAAGGGATCAAGACTCTATTCCGATAGCAATATCTGATCGTATCATTGTAACTTATGCCTGGGTTACATGACACACTCTTGGAATCCAAGTATTACACTAGGATAACATAGACTGAGAATGGGGAAGGGATGGAAGTAGGGAGAGGTGGGCCCCAGAGGGAAATGGGAGGATGGTTATCAGAAGGAGAATGAATGTCGGGTGGCCCAAATCACAGGTCCGCAATCCACACACTTGGACATTTGGAACTTGTTTTGTATTGGTTTCCTGGGGCTTTCGTAACAAAGTACCACAAACTGGGTGATTTGAAGATAAATTTGTTGTCTCACTGTTCCAGAGGCTGGAAGTCCAAGATCAAGATACCTACAGGGTGAGTTCATTCTGAGGGCTGTGAGGGAGAATCTGTTCCATGGCTCTGTCCTAGCTTTTGGCAGTTTGTTGGCAGTCCTGGTGTTTGTTGGCTTGTAGATGTATCAGCCTGATCTCCGCTTTCGTGTTCACATGGTGTTCTTCCTGTGTGCACAGTGTGATTTCTTTGTTTTTTTTTTTTTTAAATAAAGACACGTCATATTGGATTAGGAATTCTTCCTACTCTAATATGACTGCATTTTAATTAATTACATCTGCACTGATCCTATTGCCAAATAAGATCACATTAGAAAGTACTAGGGGTTAGGGCTTCAACATATGAATTTTTGAGGTCACAATTCAACCCAACAGATTTCCACCATTTTTCCATGCATTTAATATTTCTGGCTACATCTAAGACCCATCCAGTCTGGGTGTGAATGCGGAAACCAGCTGCCTCCCTCTTTCTGCTGTGTGGGCTAGGAGATTGGATGAGGCCACCTCTAGGGTCCCTTCCAGATAACTTCGCGATTAAGTGTCAGGGCTAGGAATCCATCCTGTGGTCTGAATGTATGTTACAGTGCCACCACTTACTAGCTCAGGGACTTTGGGCAAGGGGCTTACCCTCTGCAAATTTCAGTCTCCTCAACCTGAGACAGTCTCCTCAACTCTTATCCTGAGTCCTTCATCCATTGGTTTGTTGTAGGTTAGACACATAGCCTTCAATAAATGTCAGGCAGTGTGACTGTTCCACTTCTTTGAGGATGTAAGGACTGCAGAGCCAGGAGAAGAACCTATATAACCCCCAGTGTTCTCATTCTCTCATGACATTCAGTGCCATAACTTCTCCAGAGGTTCGCTTGTTAGAACTTTGAGAGAGGCCGGGCACCGTGGCTCATGCCTGTAATCCCAGCACTTTGGGAGGTCGAGGCCAAGGAGTTCAAGACCAGCCTGACCAACATGGTGAAACCCTGTCTCTACTAAATGCAAAAAGTTAGCTGGGTGTCGTGGTGCATGCCTGTAATCCCAGCTACCTGTGACGCTGAGGCAGGAGAACTGCTTGAAGCAGGGAAGCGGAGGTTGCAGTGAGCCGAGATTGTGCCATTGTACTCCAGCCTGGGCAAAAACAGCGAAACTCTGTCTCAAACAAACAAACAAAAAATCTTCAAGAGGGGAAAGGGTTCCTTTTTTTTTAATCTTGCAAACCGGAACTCAAATCCAGCTCAGGGAACGCAAAGTATTTCTCTCTCTCCCCTGAAGCTGGATGCTGTAAATTCTGAGCCAACTCCTTTTCTTTTAGGCAATGTGATTATTAAATACCTGTCCCTCTTGGGTTCCACTTATCTCTCTCTTATCTCGTTTTCTCTTATAACTTGATTTTTCCCACCAGCTTTCAGATGTGGGCTGGAACCAGTATTTTATTTACAATCTGTTTTTGGCTTCATAAATTTGGGGAAATGGAACAGATGTGTGCTGCTTTCCCAGGAAGCACATCTTTAGTTTTTTCATGCTTTAACTACAGAGTCTAATTCGGCTTGCCTAAATGCTTATTCAATAATAACTTTGAGTTCTTGCAGGTAGCAGAATCTATCTGACACAGGTGTATTAGGCCTTCACCAAGGTCAAAGCAGGAGGAGGTGCCAATCACCTTTTAAAAAATGTGGTCACTTTCATTTAGTGCCAGGTGTTGTTCTAAGCACTAGGGACATAACAATGAACAAGAGAGCCACTATCCCTGCTTTTGAGGAGTGCACATTCTGGAACATTCATTTCTGCAGAAAATATATAAGGAGAACTTATGACATGTTAGATATTGTTCATCATTGAACAAAACAGAAGCAATCTGCACTTATGGTTATGTTGTGTGTGTGGGTGGTGGCAGGAGAGGGGGAAGAATACAGCACACATAAGTACATTAAAAGAATCCTGTTAAAAGGTGATAAGTGCTATGGAAAAAACGAAGTAGGGTAAGGGGGATTAGGAATATTGGAAGGATTTACAAGTTTAAATGGGATGGTCAGGGTAGGTGATACCTGAACAAGGACTTGAAGGAAAATGAGGAAGGGAGCCTCAATGTTTGGGGGATGAGCAAGTCTAAAAGCCCCGGGGCACGAGTGTGCCCTGCTTTTTCAAGGAGAGTCAGGAGGCCATTTTAGCTGAAGAAGAGTGAGCAAGGTGAGAACAGGAGGAAATGTGGTTGGGGGCAGATCGAATGGAGCTTTCATCCTGAGTGAAACGAGGAATTAATGGAAAGTGCTGAGCAGAGAAGTCACCTGCTCTCACGCTTCAAAGGACTGGTCTGGCGGCTTTGTTCAGTCTGGACTGTGCAGGTGCGGCGTGGTGGGGTGATATTTGGGGGGCTGCTGTAACCACACGGGTGGGGTGGTACAATCCTCTGATGCACATCAGAGGGTAGCAGGTGGGGGTGGTGTGACATGGTCAGATTAGGGGTCTATTTTGGAGGCAGGGCCAACAAGACTTTTCTGGCAGATTAGATGTGGGGTGTGAAAGAGAAGAGGCAGGGAGGATTCTTAAATTTTCACCCCTTAAGAATAGAGTAGCCATTGATTGAGATGGTGAAGACGACTGCTGGAGAACTTTTTGTTTTGCTTCGGTGCATTGGGAGTTCCAGGAGTTCCGTTTGGACGTTAAGTTTGAAGGGGCTGTTTACTATCCAAGCGGAGTAGAGAGCTGGATTTTGAAGCTCTCTGGGGACACACTTTTGGGGACATTTCTAAAGCTTGAGACCCTGCTCCAAAGCCTCGAAGACCCTGCCGAGGTTCTTCCAGAGTCGGCCACGTCCCTCTCTTCTCAGCCCTCCTAAATTAAGCTGGAAAATCCCTGAGACAGTAGCTCCTTTATTCGGCAAGGTCCTTTTTCCTCTTTGAGGAGCGACGAGAAAAACGAATAAAAATGAAGACGCGCAGCAGCACTGCGTCCTTTCCCCGCTCGCTGCAGGGAGAGGCAAAGCTGCCTGGTGTGCAAGAACAGGCCCCGCTCTGGGCCGCAGGCGCTGCGGACACGAACCCCAGCTCCAGGCGTGTGGGCGGGGCCTGCGTGTGGGCGGGGTCGCGGCGCCAGGGTACGCCACAGGCGAGGGCGTGGCCGACCCGGCGCTCGGCCGCCCTCCTGCTCTCGCGCTTCCCTCGCGCCGGCCCTTCAGCGGGTGATCAGCTGGTCTGCGCTCCCCTGACGTGGGCTGGGGCACGTCACCGCCGAATGGCAGCCTCCAGAAAGCCACCGCGAGTAAGGTGAGGGCACTCCGCCGGGAGCCGCCGTCCGGGCAGCGTGCAGCTCTCACTGCGCGGCCGCGTGTGTTGCACCTCGGCAGGCAGGGACGCGCCGGTGAGGAGCCCGGCCCGCCGCAGTCTGGCTAGGGCCGCGCTCTCCGGAGCCCCGGAACGGGAGAAGGGGGAGGGGGTCCATGAAGCCGGGCGAGATACTGTTCGTTTCCGGCGGGTCGGTGGGCACGGGGGCGGCCCGAGCCCGGTTCCTGGACGCGTGTGCCCGCGGAACTGCAGCACTCGGCCCGAGGGGGCGGCGGCCGTCACAGATCCTGGCCCGCGGGAAGGCCCCGCTCATGGTGGAAGTTGGCCCCTCCTGGCCCCTCCTCGTGCCCGGCGAGGTGGGCGAGCCTCTGCCCTCGCTCCTGTTACCCAGGAATCTAAACCTCAAGTTACAATCTCGACAGTACTGACTCCTGCAATTCGCTCTACTGATCTGTCACCGCCACAAGGATAGACGGTCGCGGGCTCCTCCCCACCCAAATGGTTTCAGAGGCTGTGTAAGGGGATATTTTGGTATAACCTCCAGGAAAATCCCCCCAGTAGCCTGCCCTGGGCTCTCCTTGGGCACAGGAAGGTGAGAAGGATAATTTCCCGGCCTCAAGTTAAACATGTTTTAGTTTATTCCCCTCCCATAACCAGGGTATACTTATCAGAGCCTCTGATAAAGTGGGAGACGGAGAGAGGTGTTCAGAGTTCATGGAGGCACCAGGCCACTCCCTGGCCATCCCCAAGGGGTCACCCACCTGCCCATCACTTGAGACATGAAAGCAGTCACTTTGCAGCGGGGCCAGCCTTTCTTGCCGAACACAGACTATGGCTCTTGGCTTGTGTTTGTAAGTAGGGGGGTCCCTGGATTTACCCTTGCCACAGCTTGTTAGCGGTGAACAGAAAACCAGACCCCCCCTGTGGAAGTATGTGGGGAGGGGTGGAGAACTTCCATCTGGAAGGAGTTTCCTGTAAGTGAAGTGCTGGAAATGGAGTCAGGCAAGTGGATAATGATGAGTTAGGCTGCAGGCCTCAGGTGGCCTTCGAGGGCCAAGGTGATCTGTGCTAGATTTATGGACGCACAGCCTTTTAGGAGCAGAAGAGTCTTTTCTACACCAGCTGGTAGAGTCTTTTACCTCAAAGGAAAGTCCAGTGACAGGCTGAGAGGGGAGGCCATTTTCCGTGGGCGCCTCCCCTACTGGTAGAATTTGAGTGCCATCCAGTGTAAAAGTGAGCACTTCTTTCAGTTTAGGTAGTGGAAACTGAACTCAAATTGATTTAGGTAAAATAGGGTTGAGCTGGCTTCTAGTGTGGCTGACTCCAGGAGCACCACCAACATTGGCTTCAGACTTGGCTTCTCTTTTGCATCTCTTGGCTCTGATTTATTCAGTATCGGCTTCATTCTCAGGCAGACTTTCTCCTTATGGCAGGTTATGACAGCTCTAGGCTGACAGCCCCAGCAGAGAAGTTGAACCCTCCTTCCTAATGGAGCAGAAGTTCCTGATCTGATTCTCACTGGGCTGACTTAATTCTGATGTTCATCTGTGAAGCAATCATTATGGCCAGAGGGAGGGATTGACCAGCCCTGGGTCCCAGAACCTAATGGGTGTGTGGATAAGACTCCTTTGAATCCCTTGGACTGAAATGGAGAGGGTACCTTCTCAAAAGGAAAACCAAGGTTCCCATCGAAAGGAGGGATCGATTCTGGGTAGGCAAAGACAACATTGCCTACTTCCCAACTTTGGAACTTGTTCCAGTTTACCCTTGTCTCATCCCACTAGGTGTGATTGAGCATCTTGTTCCTTGTTTTGCCCCGTGCTGAACACTACACATGTGTGATTCCCATGAACTGGGGATTGCAGGGGGGTGAGGTATTTGGAACCCTGCCAGAATTTCTTTGAAAAAGAGGGAGAAGGCCTTTTCCAGTGCTGCCATAACCATCTTACACAAAGATTGAAAGTGCGCCGCATGCTTCTTGCCCCTTACCCACTTTGTGGCTCATCATGAAGTTGAGAAGGTGAAGGTCGAAGAAGTTCTGGGAAGGGTAGGAGCACTGAGCTGGAAGTTGGGAGGCCTGAACGCTGGTTCTGGCTGTGTCAGCAGTTACCTGTAAGGCCTTGAGCTCGTCATGTGATCTCTGTTTCTTGATTTCCTGGTCTAGAGGAAGGAATTGAGTTGGATAGTCCCTGAGGTATGTTCTTCTAGCTCTTAACATTTAACGATAATTGTGCTTTAAAAGAGAACTTAAGAATTTTATTTGTCCAAACGAGTGAAGGGTGGATAGATCTTGGACTCTACAGAGAACAGGATATGACAAGAGCAGAGCAGCTGTAATATTGAGCTGCTTTGTAGCTCCTGTGATCCTGACAGAAAGGTGGAGGTGTTGATGCTCACAGAGAGTTTGAGCTCACCTGTCAGACCTGGTTTCTGGTCTTGGCTTTGCAGCTACTGAGTTATATGGCCTATGGTAAGTTATCTTTGCTTTTTTCTTCTGTAAAATGAATGAATAGGATTACCTCAAGATAACCTTGGCTAGGCATGGTGGCTCACACCTATAGTCCCAGCACTTTGGGAGGCTGAGGTGGGAGGATCACTTGAGGCCAGGAGTTTGAGACCAGACTGGGCAATGTGGTGAGATCCTGTCTCTTCAGAAAATTATTTAAAAAAAAAAAAAAAATCAGGTGGGTGTGATGGCACATGCTTGTAGTCCTAGGCCCTTGGGAGATTGAGGCAGGAGAATTGCTTGAGCTCAGGAGTTTGAGGCTGTGGTAACCTAAGGTTGTGCAACTGCACTCCAGCCTGAGTGACACAGCAAGACCCTGTCTCTAAAAAAAAGATAACCTTCCAACTCTGTAGTCATGTGTCTGAACCAGTCGTTGGGATCACTTACTTATCAGCTTAGAAACTTATGTATGAAGTAATGGGAAATTGGGTGAGAATCTGACTTGTATCTCTGTCCACAAGAAAGAGACGTTATAAAATTTATAACGGCTTTATTGAGACACAACTCACTTACATGCAATTCATCTGTTAAAATGTACAATTCAAGTTATTAGTATAGTCACAGAGTTGTACAACTATCATCACAATCATTTTAGGTCATTTTCTTCATCCCCAAAAGAAATCCTGTTACCCACAATCAGTCACTCCTCATTTTTCCCGACCTCACCTCAGCCCTTGGCAACCACTAACACTGCATGTCTACTTCCTGTCTTTATAGATTTGTCTATTCTGGACATTTTATGTGAATAGAATCATATACTACGTGGTCTTTCGTATTAGACTTTTTCCCTTAGCATGTTTTCAAGGTTCATGTATGTCGAGGTGTGATTTCTTTTTTCTTTTCTTTTTTTTTTTGAGACGGATCCTTGCTCTGTTGCCAGGCTAGAGTGCAGTGGCATGATCTCTGCTCACTGCAGCCTCCCCCTTCTGGGTTCAAGCGATTCTCCTGCCTCAGCCTCCTGAGTAGCTGGGACTATAGGAGTACACCACCACACCCAGCTAATTTTTGTATTTTTAGTAGAGGCGGGGTTTCACCATGTTGGCCAGGATGGTCTCTATCTCTTGACCTCATGATCTGCCCGTCTCGGCCTCCCAAAGTGCTGGGATTACAGGTGTGAGCCACTGCGCCTGGCATTATTTCTTTTTATTGCCAAATAACATTCCATTGTATGGATAGACGCTTTTATTTATCCATTTATCAGTTGAGCATTTGAGTTGTGCCTACAATTTGGCTGTTACAAATAATGCAGCTATGAATATTTGTGTACAACTTTTTATAAGGATATATATTTTCAGTTTTCTTGATTATGTACCTAGGAATGGTTTTCCAAAGCCATTACACCATTTTACATTCTCATCAGGAATGTTTGAGGGTTCTAATTTTTTCCATACCCTCACTTGCCCTTGTTATTGTCAGTCTTTTTTATTATAACCTTCCTAGTGCATGTGAAGTGGTGTCACATTGTGGTTTCGATTTGTGTTTCCCTAATGACTAATGATATTGAACATCTTTTCATGTACTTCTTGGTCATTTGTGTACTTTTGCTGGAGAAATGTCTATTGAGATCCTTAGCCCATTTTAAAATTGGTTATATGTCTTTTTATTGTTGAGTTGTAATAGTTTTTTATTTTTTGAGACAGAGTCTCCCTCTGTCGCCCAGGCTGGAGTGCGGTGGCACCATCTCAGCTCACTGCAGCCTCCACCTCCTGGGTTCACGCTATTCTCCTGCCTCAGCCTCCCAAGTAGCTGGGACTGTATACAGGCGCCCGCCACCACACCCAGCTAATTTTTTTGTGTTTTTAGTAGAGACAGGGTTTCACCGTGTTAGCCAAGATGGTCTCGATCTCCTGACCTCGTGATTTGCCCATCTCGGCCTCCCAAAGTGCTAGGATTACAGGCGTGAGCCACTGCACCCAGCGACTTGTAATAGTTCTTTATGTATTCTGGATACTAGACTCAACAGATCTGCAGATATTTTCTCCTGTTCTGTGGGTTGTCATCCATTTTCTTGATGGTATCCTTTGAAACACAAACATTTTAAATTCTGATGAAGTCCAGTGTATCTCTTTTTTCTTTTGTTGCTGTGCATTTTGATTTGTGTCTCAAGAAGTCATTGCCTAATCCAAGGTCAGGCAGACTTATGTTTGTGCTTTAAGAGTTTTACAGTTTAGCTCCTATGTTTATGCCTGTGATCCATTCGTGTTAATTTTTGTTTATGGTATGAGGTGGGTTAAACTTCATTTTTCTTTTTTTGAGACAGGGTCTCTCTGTGTGACCAAGGCTAGACTGCAGTGGGGCGATCACAACTCACTGCTGCCTCAACCTATCTGGCTTAAGCGATCCTCCCGCCTCAGCCTTCTAAGTAGCTGGGACCATAGGTGTGCACCACCAAACCTGGCTCATTTTTGTAAATTTTGTAAAGATGTGTTTTGCCATGTTGCCCAAGCTGGTCTTGAACCCTTGGACTCAGGCAGTCTGCCTGCCTCAGCCTCCCAAAGTACTGGGATTACAGATATGAGTAATTGTGCCTGGCTTTTTTTTTTTGAGACAGAGTCTTACTCTGTAACCCAAGCTGGAGTGCAGTGGTGCTATAATGGCTCACTGCAGCCTCGACCTCCAGGGTTCAAGTGATCCACCCCACCTTAGCCTCCAGAGTAGCTGGGACTACAGGTGCATGCCACCATGCCCGACTAATTTTTGTGTTTTTTGTAGAAATGGAGTTTTGCCATGTTGGAAACTTTATTCTTTTGCATGTGGATATTCACTTGTCCCAGCACCATTTGTTGAAGAGACTATTCCTTCCCCCATTGAATGGTCTTGGCATCCTCAAAAATCAGTTGACAGTTGTGAGGGTTTATTTCTGGACTCTTAATTCTGTTTTACTCATTTGTAAGTCCATTCTTATGCTAGTACCACACTGTCTGGTATTTAAGTTTGAAATTGGGATGGAAGAGTTCTTTTCAAGATTCTGTTCTTTTTCAAGATTGTTTTGGCTATTCTGGGTCCCTTGCATTTCCATAAGAATTTTAGAGTCTGCTTGTCAATTTCAGCCTACAAGCTAGCTAGAATTTTGGCAGGGAATGCGTTGAGTCTATAGATCAATTTGGGAAGTACTGTCATCTTACCAATAGTAAACCTTCCAATCCATGACCATGGAATAGCTTTTGTTTATTTAGGTCTTCTTCAGTTACTTTCAGCAGTCTTTTTTAGTTTTTATGGTGTACATTTTGCACTTCTTTTCTTAAATTTATTTCTAACTTTTTTTTGTTTTTGATGTTATTGTAAATAGACTTTTCTTAATTTTATTTTTGGGTTGTTCATTGCAAGGATATAGAAGTCAAATTGATTTTTTAAATATTGATTTTTGTATCCTGTGTTCTTGATGAACTCAGTTATTGGTTCTAATTTTGTTTGTGGATTGTTTAGGATTTTCTGTATTCAAGATTATGTCATTTGCAAATAGAGATAGTTTTACTTGTTCTTTTCTAAACTGGATGCCTTTTGTTTCATTTTCTTGCCTCCTTACCCTAGATAGAACTTCTGGCACGATGTTGAATAGAAGTGCCAAGAGTAGACATCCCTGTCATGTTCCTGATCATAGGGGAAAGCATTTAGTCTTTCAACATTAAGAATGATGTTAGCTGTAGGTTTTGTAATACCCTTTGTCAGGTTGAGGACTTTTTCTTCTAGTTTGCTGAGTACTTTTATCTTGAAGGGATATTGGATTTTGTCATGCTTTTTCTGCATTTGTTGAGAAGACTAGGTAGATTTTGTTCTTTATTCTGTTGATATGGCCTGTTATAGTAATTGATTTTTCATATATTGAGCCAACCTTGTATTCCTGGGATAAGTCCCACTTGGCGATGATGATCCTTTTTATGTTGTTGTAGATTCAGTTTGCTGGTATTTTGTTGAGAATATTTGTATTTATATTTTACAAGACATATTGGGGTGTCTTACTTTTTTATGAAAGAATAATATGTTTACCCTAGTTAAGAACATCCCATTCTGTCCAGTAAAACTAAAGTCACAGCCATATGAAAGCAGACCTAGAGTCATTGGTAAAGCTGCCTGGTTATCTGGTTCTGGCTGTGTGGTAGACTGAGCTAATATGTCCCTCTCTATCTTTACCAACATGTAAACATGCGATTAAATTATAACTTAATCAACTTTGAGTTCATAGCTGAGTAAAATTCAAAACCTTTTCTATGGCCCACAGTAGGCCCCCTGGTGCCTCTATGACGTTGTCTCTGAACCACTTACCTCCCCATCCCCTGATACAATCACACTGTGTTGGCCTTCTTGCTTTTCCTCAGGTACATTAGACATACTCCTGCCTCATGGTCTTTGCACTTGCTGTTCTCCTGGAACGTTGTTCCCCTAGCCGTTCACATGGCTTGCTTCCTCACTCTTTTTAGGTCTGTGTTAAAATGTTGTCTGTTACCAGAGAGGCTGTCCCTGGCTACTCCGTATGAAATAATCCTTCCCCTTACCTCCTTGATGCTTTCTTCCCCTTGCCCTGCTTTACTTTTTTTCACAAAACACGTTCTTATTACCTAACATACTGTGTACTTGTTTTGTGTCTGTTGCCTTCTCTTCCCTATCCTCTCCCCAATCTCCCTGCCTTGCCCCATGTACATTTGTTAAAGTCAAAGATCTTGTCTGTTTTGTTCACTGTTGTGTCCAGAACAGGGCCTGGATTATGGAAGATTTTTCAATAAATATTTGCTGACTGAATGAACTTGAAAGAAAGAGAAATCCTCAAGTGCCAAAAATGTAGAGGGAACCTAACACCTGAATGGTATACTAGTAACCTGAGCCTGGGAAAATTATCAGATGCAGATATAGACCTTCATGCCAGGTGTCCAGGGCATTAGACTATCCCCATATGGGAACAAGAAGTTTGTGTGCAAATCTTCTAGCTAAGAAATTAATGTGAAAGTCTTAGAAGCAAGCAATCACAGAACTGCTTGTACAAACCAGGACCCATCACATTCTTATAGATAAATAGCCTCTATTGAAGATAAGCTAAAAGATCGATCACAAAGCACAGAAGGAATGAACCACCAAGAGGGAGAGGCAGCAGACCCAGCAGACATGAGGGTTAGTCTCCCAAGATCTGTTTGAAAGTATGGGAGAAATTATAAAATAAGGGCCTAAAATAATGAAGGCACAAAGAGAAGGCATAGAAACCAGAGTGAAAGAATAGGACACCATAAAGAAAGAACAGGCCGATGTGAAAAAGAATCAAATAGAACTTGTGTAAGGAAAAAACATAGTCATTGAAAGTAAGTCTTCTTAGTCTAGTTAAACAGGAAGTTAGACATAGCTGAAGAGAATTTATGAACCGAAAGCTAGAACTGAGAAGGTTAACCTGCAATGGCGATGTTTTACGCCCGCAAGTTTCACATCAAACTTTTATTTATTCTGCCACTGGTAATGGGGGTGAGAGTTCTTCTGATTCATGTTAGAGAACTGTTAAGTTAAGCAGTGCCTCTTCTGATTGAGCCTTGCCACTTTTATTGTGGTCAAAGTCTGCAACTTCCTGTTCTTTTTCTCCTTAAGGGCGAATCACCAGGATTTTCAGCTGAGAAATTTAAGAATAATTGAACCTCACGAGGTGACACACTCAGGAGACACAGGTGTGGAAACAGGTAATAATTTTGTCTGGAAATTAGATGGAACATCTGTAAAGGATTTTAGATCTTCACCCCAACCCCAGGTTGGGTGAGAAAAGAGGGTAAGTAATTAGTAATAGATCATGACTGGGCGTGAGTACCTGGAAGTTAAAAACCATTTTGTTTTTTGGCTTCCTAAGTGGTTGGTTACTGTTTCTATATATTTACCATTTTTTAGAGAATTCCAACTTTTATTTTTTTTTTTTTTTGCATTTTCCATTTTTGTCAGGGGGATGGTGGAGGAGGAGATAGGTTATTATTGAAAATGTTCTGTATTTCTCTAATATAGTCCTTTATTGATTATCTTAGAAATTCGCTTTCAATTTTGATCATAAGATTGCAAAATGAGAAAAGCTTATATTATTGTGCTTTATAAATTGAGTGTGCATTTAGGACAGTCTTTTTGGGAAATATTTCTTGGCTGTCCCTTCTCCCCAGAACTGGTTAATTGTCTGATGGGTTACCAGAAACCTGAATTCTGAAAAGTTGTGTATTACTGTATTTCTATCCCATGTAAGCCAGTATGGTTGTACCGACTACTCAGGAGAACCACGTTTTTTTTTTGTTTTTTTTGTTTTTTTTAGCTGACTGAAAAATTAATTTTTTTTTTTTTTTTTTTGAGATGGAGTCTTGCTCTGTCGCCCAGGCTGGAGTGCAGTGGCACAATCTCGGCTCACTGCAAGCTCCGCCTCCCGGGTTCATGCCATTCTCCTGCCTCAGCCTCCTGAGTAGCTGGGACTACAGGCACCCGCCACCTCGCCCGGCTAATTTTTTGTATTTTTAGTAGAGACGGGGTTTCACCGTGTTAGCCAGGATGGTCTCGATCTCCTGACCTCGTGATCTGCCTGCCTTGGCCTCCCAAAGTGCTGGAATTACAGGCGTGAGCCACCGCGCCTGGCCTGAAAAATTGATCTCTTAAAGTACATAAGAAACCATGCCTGTCTAATCTCTGTTTGGAAGAGCAATGCTATAATTGCATGCAATTTTAGATCCTTTTTCTTTAAAAAATATAGATGTATCCCACACAGTTTGGACCATATTAGGAGGTAGCAGAGGAAGGAGGAAAAAGAAAGTAAAGAAAGGAAAAAAGTGATGGAATCATCAAACTTGGAATTGGAAGATAACTTCTTTTTCTTTTTGTAATGTATGAGGAAATAGAGGTTAGGAAGCTTCAATTGCCTGAGGTTGTAGATCCCAGTTGGAAACTGGAGCTCACTTGTTTTGCTTCTGTCTTAGAACACTTTAAGCCTCTGTTATGTCCCCCAGATAATATGGTGTAATAGAGCATGGACTTGAGAATTGCATAGACCTTGAGTCTTTGGTTCCTGATGATCCAGCTGATTTGGGCAAGTACTTAACTCCTTTTAACTCCTGTTCCTTTATGTGTAAAATGAGAATAGTGAAACCTGCCTTGGAGAATTGTTGTGAGAATTAACCACTAATGTATGTAAGTCCCTTAGCCTTCCCTCAGCTGTGCAACAGAGAAACAAAACACTACCTCTAAAGCTATGGATGCTGGAAGAGCATCTATGCCTGTGTTAAGGTGCTGAAATTGGAGTAAACGAGCCCCTTCCATTCTTATAACGAGACATGTGGGAATTCCAGTTGGTGCTTCAGATCCAGATTCAAATATTTCTTGAGCTCCTGCAGTGTATTAGGTGCTGTGCATGGTGCTTTCACACATGTTATCATGTTTAATTTGCCTGGCCGCCAGTGAGATAAGTATGGTGTGCTTTTCATGTACAATCAGTGAAAAATCTTGTTTGTGATAAAGGCTGAAGTTGTGGGAACTTATTTCTAAAAGCAGACCTGTATATGCAAGACTTTTAAGTGAGTCATTCTCTGTAAGGCATAGTTTGAAAATATCTGGCAGTGTATAGGCTAATGTTTCATCATGGACTAGGCCTGTTGCTCTTGGCTTCCTACTTTCCTGCACACTTTGCTTAGCTCTTGACTGTTTCTAACATTTCTGAAAAGTCATAGGATATGGAATGAGCAGATGTCATAATACAGCACCTTGCAAGAGCCTATCTGTCACTGAAGATTCATTACTGTTCGTTGAGTCTGAAAAAATCATAGACATGATGTTGTGAATTTGATTTAGCCATCTTCGAGTAAGCATATGTATATGTTATTTATAGGTACATGGATACAGAGATGACATCATCCCTGCCTTCAGGAGAAGTGGTATTTACCCTATTACACGATTTATCACATTGCATTTATGGTTAGTTGTACGTCTTACTCTAATAACATTAAACATTTACATGACGTTTGTTATTTGCCAGGAACTGTTTCTAAGTGCCATACATATAGTAACTCATTTACTCCTTATTACAAATTACGAGGGTCATCAGCTACAACTTTCACTTCCTCCATCTTGGCTGCCTTTTCAACCAGTGCCACCTCAATGGCTAGGACTTACATAATTGCACCAATTTTGTTCTCTCCTTAGCTCCAGCTGCTCACCCATTCAGTCACTGTCATCAGCTGTTTTCCTTGTGGCTACAGCTGCCTCAGCCACCAGGGCCCACTGTATTCACTTCAGTGGTAGCTGCCTCACTGCCTCAGCCATTGCCTGTTACTGTCTTCTTCACCTTCACTGTTGCTGCCCCTGCCCCTTACCACATCCTAACTGTTGGTTATGGCATTGAGACTTCTTTCATCATGTCTGATATTGATGATAAAGAAGTAGTTGCATTTCACCCAGAACATGAATGTGATGGGCCTGAAGGATGAGGAAGTAGGAAGAGGGAAAGTGTTGAGTGTCGATGGGGGCAGGTAGCATTGTGGAGGGGAGTGGCAGTGAGACTGATGAGGCTCATGATTCTGTGGGGGTCTGATCCACCAGTCACCAGGGGAAACGTGATGATGTGATGGTGGTGGTAATGAAGGTCAGAATGTGGAAATGAGGAGGCAGGTTGTGATGACCAGGAAGCAGAGGATGTTTTTGAAGAGCTCCAGTTTGTTTTTGTTGGTTTTTAGTTTGCAGTTGAAGATTTTGTGCTCATCCTTGGTTGTGTTAACTTTATTGATGAAGTTAGTGACTGATAATATTGATACTATAATCAGTACTAAACATCCAGTAGTGCCACCAAAATCCTTAAGTCAGAATGTACCTAAATGGAAGGCACATTCTATAAAGAAATAAATGATCTTGAAAGAAAGTATATTGGACTTTTACATTTTTGCATTTTAAAACTCCTGAAGCCAAGGCTGTACTCCAGACCAGTTAAGTCAGATGTTCCCCAGATAGTCCTAATGCGCAGCCAGTGTTGAAAGTCCTGCTCTAAAGAAAGCTTCGTTTTTGCTTGACTGTTTTTAAGAATGATTACTTGCTAGCCAGGCGCGGTGGCTCAAGCCTGTAATCCCAGCAGTTTGGGAGGCCGAGACCGGTGGATCACGAGGTCAGGAGATCGAGACCATCCTGGCTAACACGGTGAAACCCCGTCTCTACTAAAAAATACAAAAAAACTAGCCGGGTGCGGTGGCGGGCACCTGTAGTCCCAGCTACTCGGGAGGCTGAGGCAGGAGAATGGCGGGAACCCGGGAGGCGGAGCTTGCAGTGAGCTGAGATCGCGCCACCCCACTCTATCTAGCCTGGGGGACAGAGCGAGACTCCGTCTCAAAAAAAAAAAAAAAAAAAAAAAAAAGAATGATATGCTTGCTCCAGAAATATGATTTGAAAACACAATAAATCCTGATGAGCTCTGAAAGATATCAGAGTAAAATTTTTAGATGCTGGCAAGCTTGTGAGATCACGATGGGCTTTATTTTCAACCCCCAATGGAGGTGTTGACATATAAACTTGGATCAGACCAGGTACTTCTGATCCCTTTTTCTCTGATAGGTGAGAACTTATAGGCTCAGTAGATTAGACAAAAGGAAAGGATAGCTGGATGCAGTGGTGTGTACCTGTAGTCCCACTTACTTGGGAGGCTGAGGTGGGAGGATCACTTGAGCCCAGGAGTCCAGCCTGGACAATGTAGTAAGACCCTGTCTCCCCTCAGAAAAAAAAAAGAATGCCCCTCTCAGACAATATTCAGAAACAACTGTAATGCAAGGAACATGGAAGAATGATATACTTGCTCAGAAATATGATTTGAAAACACAATAAATCTATTCGGAAGCTCCTGAAAGATATCAGAGTAAAATTTTTAGATGCTGGCAAGCTTGTGAGATCACGATGGGCTTTATTTTCAACCCCCAATGGAGGTGTTGACATATAAACTTGGATCAGACCAGGTACTTCTGATCCCTTTTTCTCTGATAGGTGAGAACTTATAGGCTCAGTAGATTAGACAAAAGGAAAGGATAGCTGGATGCAGTGGTGTGTACCTGTAGTCCCACTTACTTGGGAGGCTGAGGTGGGAGGATCACTTGAGCCCAGGAGTCCAGCCTGGACAATGTAGTAAGACCCTGTCTCCCCTCAGAAAAAAAAAAGAATGCCCCTCTGAACAATATTCAGAAGCAACTGTAATGCAAGGAACATGGATGTGCTTGAATTATGAGTAGGACAGTTTCCATTTACTCTTCCTTTGAGTACTTCTGTCTTCTGAGACTCCGGGGTTGAGTCCTAGGGCCTGCTTGTTGAAGTTGCCCTTGCTGCAGATGGTAAGTGAGGCACTTTTTCTAGCTTAAGATCAGTATGGTACCCTATAGGGGATTCTGTTGGAGATAACCATAACAACTGAGGCATAGAAGCCTAAGGTGCTGGTGATGATGAAAAGGAAGAAGCAAATGAGTATGCTAAAGAAAAAGATCCAAAAAGGACCTATGCCCAGCAGGATTTAAGCTACAGTAAGTCAGGATGTCAGTCCTTGAAGATCACCTCATGTAATTGCCTTGATTTAACTCTCCATTACTTACAGAGTTGTATGTTACAATGTTTTTGATTAAGTAAAATTTTTTTTTTTTTTTTGAGATGGAGTCTTGCTCTGTCGCAAAGGCTGGAGTGCAGTGGCGTGAACTTGGCTCACTGTAAGCTGTGCCTCCCAGGTTCACGTCATTCTCCTGCCTCAGCCTCCTGAATAGCTGGGACTATAGGCGCCCACCACCACGCCTGGCTAATTTTTTTGTATTTTTAGTAGAGACGGGATTTCACCATGTTAGGCAGGATGGTCTTGAACTCCTGACCTTGTGATCCGCCTGCCTTGGCCTCCCAAAGTGCTGGGATTACAGACGTGAGCCACTGCGCCCTTCCAAATATTTTTATTTGTTAAAAAATGAGTTGGCAAACTCCAAAACACCAAAAACACCAAATGAGTTGAAATCTTATGTCCACCTAAAACCTGCACACAGATGCAGCTTTATTCATGGTTACCAGAACCTGGAAACAACCAATATGTCCTTCAGCAGGTGAATGGATAAATGGTGGTACATCCAGACAATGGAGTATTATTCAGGGCTAAGGAAATGAGCTATCACGCAATAAAAAGACATAGAGGAACTTTAAATGCATATTCCTTTTTTTTTTTTTTTTTTTTTGAGACAGAGTTTCGCTTTTGTTGCCCAGGCTGGAGTGCAATAGTGCAATCTTGGCTCCCCACAACCTCTGCTTCCTGGGTTCAAGCAATTCTCCTGCCTCAGCCTCCCGAGTAGCTAGGATTACACGCATGTGCCCCCATGCCCAGCTAATTTTGTATTTTTAGTAGAGATGGGGTTTCTCTATGTTGGTCAGGGAGGTCTTGAACTCCCGACCTCAGGTGATCCACCCGCCTTGGCCTCCCAAAGTGCTGGGATTACAGGTATGAGCCACCGTGCCTGGCTTAAATGCATATTCTTAAGTGAAGGATGTCAGTCTGGAAAGGCTACATATTGTATGTTTCTGACTATATGACATTTTAGAAAAGGCAAAACTATGGAGACAGTAGAAAAGCTCAGTTATTGTCAGGGGTTAGAGGAGAGGCAGAGGGAGAAATGAATAGGCTGCATGTGCACAGAGAATTTTCAGGGCAGTGAAAGTACTCTGTGTGATACTATAATGGTGGATACGTGCCATTACACATTGTTCAAAACCCATAGAATGTACAACACCACGAATGAATGCAGGAGTAAGCCGTGGACCTAGGGTGGTGATGATGTGTTAATGTAAGTTTATCCATTTTAACAAATGTACTACTCTGGTGGGGCATGCAGATAGTGGCAGGGGGCTGTGTGTGTGTTGAAACTGAAGCTACATGGGAACTGTGTATTTTCTGTTCAGTTTTGCTGTGAACCTGTAACTGCTGTAAAATATGAAGTCTATTAAAAATGGTTGGAAAAACTCATTCTACTTCGAATTCCAATAGTATAGTTTTGTGCCAGTGTATAGGATATAGTGAAATATGCATGATCACTATTCTATAATTGGCTCCTTCTGAAGTTGTTTTTTTAATGTAGACATAGGACTACAGCTATGATGTTTAGCAGAACATTAACTAATATCAGTGATTGTTGAGAAAAGGTCTTTTTGAAGAACCAACTAAAGTGGTTAAGTCAGCGTGCATCATCTGTGCTTCCACTTAGTGAGTACAAGAGTCTGTCCCTGACTATAGATATAGATGAAACAAGTTTACGAATTTCTAGTAGGACCACAGTTAACATCTTTTACATTTCAGTTTAATTAGTTTTATATTTCTATTCCTATTTGTATTTTCTAAAGCTGATGATTCCAGCTCTGGTTTTATTTGAATGGTAGACTCCCCTGGAGCCTTGGGACTTCGTTTGAAAACCTTGGGTCTCATCCACTCCCGCCATACTTTAGATAAAGTATTGAGACAGAGTCTCGCTCTGTTGCCTAGAGCTGTAGTACAGTGGCGTGATCCTGGCTCACTGCAAGCTCTGCCTCCCGGGTTCATGCCATTCTCCTGCCTCAGCCTCCCAAGTAGCTGGGACTATAGGTGCCTGCCACCACGTCCGGCTAATTTTTTTGTATTTTTGGTAGAGACGGGGTTTCACTGTGTTAGCCAGGATGGTCTTGATCTCCTGACCTCGTGATCCACCTGCCTTGGCCTCCCAAAGTGCTGGGATTACAGGCGTGAGCCACCGCGCCCGGCCACTCCCGCCATACTTTAAAAGAGGAGAACAGAGCATTGAGGGCCTGGCCCTCTTCTCCCTTGCACAGCTGGTTGGTAGCAGGTATTCACTAGAAGATAAGACTTTTGACTCCTAGTGGACGGAACTTTCTTCTCTAAATCTGTAGCTGGGTATTTAACAAAAGGTCTATAAAACAACTTCTTTTAAAGCAGTCAAATTTAAAAAGCAGAAAAATACAAGAAGACAATAATCACTCCAAATTTACTCAAAGGTAACCACTCTTAACACTTGGGTGACTGTCCTTATAGAAACTTCTCTGCATATATACATACACAATTTTAAATAAGAACAATCTATATGTGGTTTTTTTTTGTTATCTTTTTTTGTTGTTGTTGTTTGTTTTCTTTTGAGATGGAGTCTTAGTCTTTCATCAGGCTGGAGTGCAGTGGTGTGGTCTCAGGTCACTGCAACCTCCGCCTCCCGAGTGCAAGCGATCCTGCCTCAGCCTCTGGAGTAGCTGGGGCTACAGGCATGTGCCACCACACCTGGCTAATTTTTTATATTTTTGTAGAGATGGGGTTTCACCATATTGGCCAGGATGGTCTCGATCTCCTGACCTTGTGATCTGCCTGCTTTGGCCTCTCCTAAAGTGCTGGGATTACAGGCGTGAGCCACCTTACCTGGCCTGTCATCTGTTTTTAATTACCCACAAGTGTTCTCTAGGTATCAAATATGTAATCAAATATGTAAGGCTATGTAATTCTTTTCTAGGTCTGTGTAATTTGTAATGAGTACACAGTATACTGTTGTGTGTATTATAGTTTATTTAACTATTAACTATAAAATCATACATTTCTCCTGTTTTTTCCTACTATAAACAAAGATAAACACCTAAATTTCTGTATACTTGTTTATCTCCTATTCATGAGTGAAGTCCTAGGAGTGAAAGAGGTAACCAGTCAATTTGAAAATGGTTAGTAGCTAAACTTTTCTGGCCACAAACGGCTACTTTGAGGTAGTATTTAAGAACTGTGAACATTAGTGTTTCTGGCAGCTTTGGTCTCGGTCTGATGGTGGGGTGGTCAGTTTGAAGACCTAACTGGGAGTGGGTCAGAACGTGGAAGGCACTTCTCTCTGTGGCCCACTTCGAACTGGACATTGAATTGCAGGGGGCAGGCTGGTTTTGAAATAAACTCTCCTGTTGTTGCAGACAGCAGAATGCCTCCAAAGGTGACTTCAGAGCTGCTTCGGCAGCTGAGACAAGCCATGAGGAACTCTGAGTATGTGACTGAACCGATCCAGGCCTACATCATCCCATCGGGAGACGCTCATCAGGTACCGCGTGGAAATGGGCTGTGATGGAACTCCTCAGCCTCTCCTTTCTTTTCAGTCTTTTTTTTGCCCAGCCCTAATGCATTTGTAGGATTCTAATTGTCAACCCATAACCAGGGCCACAACCAGGCCCTTCCAGGGCTTGCTATGGGGATCTGTGTCCAGTAGGTCTCACTGAATGTTTGTGGATTGGCCCTGGGTTCCTTGATTCCGGTGACTTAGCCATCTTTCAGTGAAGAATTAGTGGGCAAATTAAGGGACAGAAGTTCTGGAACTTTCTGTTGGTGGCATACTCCACATCTCCTCTGCCACACTCTATTCCTAGCAGAATTGTTTGCCCTGTCTTTCTTTTGCCCAATCGAGGAGAGTTGGAGAGGCAGAGACCTCATGTGATAGGGTTGTCGGGCAGTAGGGTAAAAGGATTCTGGGATCCACTGTGAGGTCATTGAGTGAGCAAGTGTTTGAGTGCTTACACTGTGGTTATAGTGCTGTAGGGTTCAAAGATGAACTTAAGGTTGAATGTCTGCTCTCACTGGGGTTATGGTTTAGTGAGATGAAATAATATAAGAGTGCTATTTTTCCACAGAATCATTTGTAAGTATAGTTTTCCCAGCCTTTGCTTGTGTATAAGGCCCTACCCATCTCAGGTATTAGACATGATACGGAGATGAGAATTGTTCCTGGTTTTAAGAAGCATACAGCTTAATAATGGAGTTTAGATGTACATGCACATACCTGTATTGTAAAATGTGGTAAGTGCGATCAAGAAAATCCGGACAGAAGGCTGTGGAAGTTTGAGGGTGAGAGGGGAAGATAATGAAGAGCTTCATGGCGCAGGGGAGGCATTTGAATTGGACCTTGAAGGATGGGTGGAGTTTGGGTAAATAGAGGGATGGGATGGAGGAGGAGGAAAGAGGTTCTAGGTAAAAGTATTAGTGGCAGCGAAGGCAAGAAACAGGGAAGCTTCGAGTGCTTTTCAGAAACAATGGGACAGGTTTCCCTGGCAAGAGACCAGGGAAGTAAAAAGCAGTAGTGGGAAATAAAACTGTTGTTACAGGATTCTTCAGTTGCAGGTTATAGAAACTGCCTTGAGATACCTTGATCAGTAAAAATGCTTTATAAGGATTCAAGGGCAGAGCCACCATATTGGCACAACACCAGATTGTGAATGGTGCTCTCAGAGTTATGCATGTCAGGGCCTCAGATAGGGTGTCTTGTGGAAGCTGAGGGCAAGAATGCAGCAGGCCCTCAAGAAGAACTGGGACGGGAGGGTTTTCAGGTCTTGCTGCATATCAGTTTCTTTTCTTCAGCCAACTGGGTGGGTCGTATAAACCTGACAACACCTACATTTATATCTTTTCCTCTCTTAGTTTCAAAATACCAGATTGAGCTAGAACTTTAATCCCCCAAATTCAAAGTCCAGGGTGAGAACTTGATTGGTATATGTAGCAACTTGGTTCTGTATGGTCCTGGTTACTCTGTGTGTATGCACGTGCGCGTGTCTGTGTGTCTGTGTCTGTGTTTGTGTCTGTGTGATGTCAGACATTAGTAATGGGGGTCCACCAGTCCACCATAATGGAGGGGGTGGTAGATAAGGGTATTTCTGTAAGTTGAGCAAGATCCCAAAACATATCCATTCTGGCTGGCTGACTTCTTGCCTCTCCCCAGAGTTCCTAGTCTACATGGTTGTGACAATGTCAGGCCTGTGTTAACCTGGGGACCACTCAACCACAAGATTGGATCTCTGCCTGGAGACATGGATTTCCTAGCCTTAGGGGCAAATGAAGGGCTTCAAATGAATAACCAAGGGGATCGGATGTCTGAGACAACGGTATGAAGTTTAGGATACTTTGATGTTTAGAACAGTGTTCCCCAAACTGTGTTCTTCAGTATTCCTGTTGTGTCTTGTAAGATGCTCTACAAAAAATATATTTTTTAGTTGAGAAAATGAAATGAGCTGAACAGCGTTTTTTTATTGTGGTAAAAAATGTGTAATATGACATTTATTTTAATCATTTAAAAATGTACAATACTGTAGTGTTAACTACATGCACATTTTTTTTTTTTTTGAGACGGAGTCTCGCTCTGTTGCCCAGGCTGGAGTACAGTGGCCAGATCTCAGCTCACTGCAAGCTCTGCCTCCCGGGTTTGCGCCATTCTCCTGCCTCAGCCTCCCGAGCAGCTGGGACTACAGGCGCCTGCCACCTCACCCGGCTAGTTTTTTGTATTTTTTAGTAGAGACGGGGTTTCACCGTATTAGCCAGGATGGTCTCGATCTCCTGACCTCGTGATCCGCCCGCCTCGGCCTCCCAAAGTGCTGGGATTACAGGTTTGAGCCACCGCGCCCGGCCTGCATGCACATATTGTTGTGCAACAGATCTCTAGAACTTTTTCATCTTGCAGAACTGAAACTGTATATCGATTAAACAGCTCCTCCCAGTCTCTCTTCTCCCCTCCTATCCCTGGCAACCAGCATTCTACTTTCTCTTTCTAAGATTTTGCCGGGCCAGTCACGGTGGCTTACGCCTGTAATCCCAGCACTTTGGGAGGCCGAGGCAGGCGGATCATGAGGTCAGGAGTTGGAGACCAGCCTAATCAACATGGTGAAACCCTGTCTCTACTAAAAATACAAAAATTAGCCAGGTGTGCTGGCACGCGCCTGTAATCCCTCCGCTCAGGAGGCTGAGGCAGGAGAATTTGCTTGATCCTGAGAGGCGGAGGTTGCAGTGAGCCAGCCAAGATTGCGCCACTGTACTCCAGCCTGGGTGACAGAGCGAGATTCCGTCTCAAAAAAAGTTTGCCTACTTTAGATAACGCATGTAATTGGAATCATGCAGTATTTGTCTTTTTGTGACTGGCTTATTTCACTTAGCATAGTGCCCAAGGTTCATCCATGTTGTAACGTATGACAGGATTTCTTTCTTTTATAAGGCTGAATAATATTCCATTTTATTTAGAGACTTTTTTTTTTTTGACCTGTTCTGTGGATGGTCATTTCAGTTTTTTCCACCTCTTGGCTATTGTGAGCAATGTTGCAATGAACATGGGTTTGCAAATATCTTTTTAAGATCCTGTTTTCCATTCTTTTGGATATATGCCCACAAGTGAGATTGCCAGATCATATGATCCTTCTATTTGTAATTTCTGGGGGAGCTTCCATACTGTTTTCCACAGCACCTGTACTATTTTGCATTCCCACCGATGGTGCACAGGGTTCCAGTTCTTCCACTTCCTCACCAACACTTGTTATTTTTTGTTTTGTTGTGAGGTGATGGCTCATTGTAGATTTGATTTGTATTACCTGATGATTAGTGTTGTTGAGTATCTTTTCATATGCTTTTTGGTCCCATTTGTATATTTTGTTTGGAGAAAATGTTTATTCAAGTCCTTTGCCCCTGTGAGTTTCATAGCTGCAGGACTTCTCAGGGCCTTTAATATGCTGACGTGCACTCTGTACCTCTAAGGAGGGGATAAAGTATTCAACTTTTTTCGGACTTAAATGTCCATGGAATTTTCCTAGTTATTTCAGGGGTGGGGTGGGAGAATCTAGTGTTCCATGGAATACGTTTATGTGTTGTTCTGTGATAGCACTTTTCATCCGATGATGGGTCTTGCATGTAGAGGTGGATGAAGGGAGAGGTCAAAGTGAGAGGTATATTCAGACACCAGCTCACTGGCTGTTCAGCCTGGCAGAATATAGAAAAAGTAGAATATCAAGCTGGAAGCGAGGTGGTGGCATGTGAGGAGGCCATGAGGCTGGGTACATAACTGTTAAATTTAGTAGGCAGTGGGATGGTGAGGATAGACTTGGTGAGGTTTATCTGTGTTCTTTAGAATAGACAAATAAGATTGATCAACTTCAGGCTGGGTGTGGTGGCTCACGCCTGTAATCCAAGCATTTTGGAAGGCTGAGGCGGGCCGATCACCTGAGTTCAGGAGTTCGAAACCAGCCCGTCTCTGCCAAAAAATACAAAAATTAGCTGGGTGTGGTGGCTCATGCCTGTAGTCCTGACTTCTTGGGAGGCTGTGGTGGGAGAATCACTTGAACCTGGGAGTGGAGGTTGCAGTGAGCTGAGATCATGCCACTGCACTCCAGCCTAGGTGACAGCGCAAGATCCTGTCTCAAAAAACAAAAAAACAAAAAAAAAAAAACAAAAAAAAATTGACCAACTTCATATGAAGCAAAGTATCATCTTGACCAAGGGCTGGATGAGGAAGTAGGCTGGCCACTGTGATTTGGGCCTGAGTTATGGTAGGAGTCGTAGGTAGCAGAGGAGCTGGGCACTCCCCTGTTTAAGAAGGGCAGACCATTGCCTTGTCTTCAAGGAATTTTGTATTTTCTTTGGGCCCTTCTGATGAGCTAGCTCTTCCTTGTTTCCTGTCAGTCCCAGGCCTCAGCCTTTGGATGTGGGCTTCATGTCACATGGATTCTCTGCTGGACTCACCAGTGGCATTTTTAATTTGCTGCCCTTCAAGCATTGGACAGTTGCCCTAGGCCAATTTGATTGCAGTCACCCTATTGGTGTTGAGCAGATGGTGGTTCCTGCAACTGGAGCACATTATGATTATGTAGCAGTTGGTTTGGGCAGTTCTGTAAGTCCCCTGGCACAGTTGTCTGAAATTGGGACCCTCCTCTGAAAGGGTTCTCACAGGCCGTCATGGAACCCTGGCTGAAGACTCCTTAATAGCTCTACTATTTGTGAATCTTCACCTCCAGGGGAGGCCTCAGTATACAGAAAGATTCGACTAGCTTATGTTACTTGAATTAAAAGTTGAAGGTTTCTGGTTAAGGGTGTGTTGGAAGCTTTGTAGTCTTTGTATTTCAGTTTCAGTTTTCTTTTGCCTGGAGTTAGGATATTATCTGTGTGTTTACTGGTAGGAGACACTGACATCTTGTAGCTAAGTCAAGTTCATCTTGATGTTCTTGGTTCTGGGTGCTGTTCCTTTTCCAGCTTTTTTTGTTTGTTTGTTTGGTCATCATAAAGCTGATTTTTGGATACCCT